TTCAAAATGTGGCCCGGGAATGGAGTTCTGGGAAATAGAAGAGCACGAAGTGGCCTACAGTTGGCTCCGGGCATCCAAAATGTGGCCCGGGAATGGCGTTCTGGGAACTCGAAGAGCACGCAGTGTGTGACCGTTGCATCCGGTTATTCTAAATGTGGCCCGGGAATGGCGTTCTGGGATCTCGAAGAGCACGAAGTGTGACTGTGCATCCGGTTATTCAGAATGAGCCTGGGAATGGAGTTCTGGGAACTCGAAGAGCACGAAGTGTGTGACTGTTGGTGAAAAACGAGGTGGACTCAATCCGCCCGGCAACTCCCAACACCTGCCCGGACCCCCCTGTGGAGTGATCTGTGAGCTCTTTTGAGTCCACTAGAAACCTATCAGTCTTCGCTGTTAGGTAAATACACACAAATAACAGGATTCCCCATCTTTTCCCATTTGTCCCTGGGGACCGACGATTGATCGTGTCTGTGTGTGTGTTTTTGTTCCCCTCCTGAAGCCTTCCTAAGGAATCGACGATTAATGGTTTTTTCCCCTCCTGAAGCCTTCCTAAGGGTACCCCAGATCTCGTAATAAAAGGGAGGGGGTCTGGACCCTCCAAGACAAGCCATTTCAGACCCCTCCGTGGGAGAACCCTCCAAAACATCGTCCCCAGACCCCCCCAGGCCCTCCAAGATAGCCTGGAAGAGACCCCCCCCGAAATGAGACCCCCCTCCCTTTATTACGACATTTGGAGTACCCTTGCATCCTTGCCCCTTCGGCCCATCTTTGGTCACTGTCGCTGGCCGCGCACCCCCTCCGAGAGCCTCGGCGTGGCCTTCCCTGGCCCTGGGCATCCTTGTCCGGGCGTCCTTCTTACCAGGGTTGGCTGTACGTACAGTCGGGGCGTTCACCTAAGGAACCCCAAATAAGAAACGAGGCCCCTATTTTCCATGGGTTAAACTTCGATTTCCCGTCGAAAACAAAAGGGAAACCTGAGGCAAGCTGTGAGACACTTAAGGAACGCGGAGCCCCTCCCCAACGGAAAGGGTTCCTTCTCCAGGGCCCCGACTGTAGCACCCCGCAGGTGCGGCTAAGAGTGAGGGGGCGGTGGGGACGTCGGCAGTTTGCGAGACTCTGGAGAAGCCCCCCGCAGGCGCCAAAGCTTCACAAATTATACAACGAGCCCGCCGCAGGCGCCGATTCTTTCGTTAAACCAATGTGGTAGTTCGCGGGTGGGTCGCGGGTGGATCACAAATGGGTCGCGGGTGGGTCGTGGATGGGTCGCTATTGGGTCGCGGGTGTAGAGGACAAGGGTTGGCTATACGTAGCACCCCGCAGAGGCGGCTAAGAGTGAGGGGGCGGTGGGGACGTCGGCAGGTTGCGAGACTCTGGAGAAGCCCGCCGCAGGCGCCAAAGCCCGACTGAACCCTTGGGGAACCACATCCCTCGGAGCCGCCGACGCCCACCTCCTCCTCCTCCTCCTCCTCCTCCTCCTCCTCCTCCTCCTCCTCCTCCTCCTCCCCTCTCCTGCTCCTCCCCCTCCTCCTCCTCCTCCTCGTCCTCCTCCTCCTCCTCCTCCTCCTCCTCCTCGAGGGCCGCGAGGGCCCGTGCTCGTGCGCAGGGTGCGCGGGCCGAGCGGAGCTCGCTTGGGGGGGCCCCAGGCGGGAGGGGGTCGCCACGAACCGGCGGCGAGCCCAGGGGGGCAGCGGGAGAGGGTGTGGGACGCGCAGAGACATAGGACTAACATGTTCGATTCCACTATCGATCTCATTCTCGATCTCACAATCGACCTTCTGTTGCATCCTCGGGGGACCTTGTCTGTCCCGTCGCGGCCCTGTCCGCGTCGAATGCATGTCGAATCCATGTCGGACGCGTCGGATCCGTGTCGAATCCGTGTCGAATCCGCGTCGAATCCATGCCAAATCCCGCGTCGAGTCCGCATCGAGCCCGCGTCGGGCTCCCAAAACGACACCAATTTTGGGGACAGGCGAGGTCCCCCGAAGATGCAACAGAATCGATCTCAAGATCCATGCGACTAGATTTCAAATCATCCACTGATTGGGTTTTCTCCGGTGTGATAGTAATAGATTCCCCAATCGGTGCTTGCACTGAAGGGGTCCTAGCGGAAGCTGAAGGATTTGGCGAACATTTCCCGCTGATTTTGGTAGCAGGCTGGGTTCCCGGGTTCCCGGCTCCGGGTTCCCGGGTTCCTGGTTATTGGTTCCGGGCCGATTTCGGTGGGTTCTGGGTTCCCGGGCTCCCGGATTCCTGGTCGATCTCCTCAGCGAAAACCATCCACTGATTGGGGCTTTTGTCTGGTGTAATATCGGTTTCTGGAAAACCGGAACCCAAAATCGTTGTCATCTCTGGGCCAGTGCTTCCGCCAGCTTCCGCCCAGCTTCCGCTGGCGGAGGCGGCCTCGTTTTACTTCCGCCGACCTTCCGCCGTGGAAGAGATGGCTTCTCCTTCGATCCTCGATTGCAATACCTTGTTTTGGAACGCCTCATACTTCCTCCTTGGAGGCGCGCGTCCGACCCGAACATGTAGTATACCACTATTGTAGTATATATATACATATATATATATATACATATATATATATATATGTATCGTTTCCCGAGCCGTGTGGCCAGAAAGCGCCCGCCACGACTCATGTACTAGAAGACCTCTCGGTGCCCGCGTCGCCCCTGGGGCGGTGACGCACACCTAGTATCAGCATGTCGGGGTGACGCCGACCGGGCAGGCCCTCTCAGTAGGCGGCGGGGCTTCTCGGAAGCCCTCGCGCCTTCTGAGAAGTGCCCCCTGTCTCCGGAGGAGGCTCCGCGAACTTCTCGGGAGGCCCCTGGAGGCCTTCCGAGCCCTCTGAGGCAGCCCGCCCCCTCTGGCTTCCCGCCCGGGCCCGTCGCCGAACGAACCGGCGGAGCGACGCGCGGAGCCGAAGGTCCCGACCGTCATCCATTGCAGAGCGGAGCGCTGCGAGCCGTCTTGGGGCCCTCTTGGAGGCCTCTTCGGCGATCTTGGAGCCGCCGTGGGGGCCACTTGGGCCGTCTTGGAGCGTCGGGATGCAAAAAGGCTGGGAACTCTAAAATGAAAAAGCCGCTGGGAAAACAATGTTTCTTGGAACCTCTTCGGCCTTCTGGGGAGCTTCTTGAGGGCCTCTTGGGTCCCATTTGGGGACCTCTGGGGCTTCCTGGACGATTCGCAGCGACACGACGGGCCTTTTTCCGGGCTGGGATGAGTGGCACGCGGCCGCCGCCACTGCCGAGACGTGCTGCTACGGGGCGGAGAGGGTGGGCGACAAGCGGATCCTAAGGACCTGACGCTTCGAGCTTTCGCTTCCCGTGGCTTACCCGTGAGGATTCCTAAGAACAAGCCAGCGTGCTGGTAAACGAGTGCAGAGAGGAGGCGGCGGGGAGTCGACAGCCCTCTGGAGGGAGGTCAATCCGAGGCCCCGGCGAGAGACACAAGGGGGCAATGGTGTAGATGATTGCGCGCTGCTGCAGGGCACCCCTGGTCCACAGAAAACGGCGCTTTCGACAAGCACGCCTCCCCACTGGGGAGGCTGCTCCCGGCTGGCATGGCGCACGTGGGCTGGCGTGAGAGCAGGTGTGGAGCATGGCGCGGGGCGCGAGCAAGGTAGAGAAAGAGAGAGAGAGGGAGAGAGAGATATAAAGGAAGGCCGCATGCAGGAGCAGAAAATGGAGACCGCCCAGCTTGGGCTGGAGTAGATGAGACTCGAGGATCGCACCGCACAGGATGTGTATGGGCGATGCATCGGCGACGTCGTGATATAAGATCGCGCCGCGTCACCGATGCATCGGCGATGCGACGGGGTCCTCAGACCCCACCTGCTCTGGCCCCATGCGGGCAAGAGTGTGCCTACAGGAGGTCCTGTAGCGCGGCCACACGGTGGAGAACGAACAGGTGCTTGTGCTGTGAAGGCGCCGTCGCCCAGACACCGTACAAGGCGGGCACACGGTGCCCATTGTCAGCGTCCCGCCCGTCAGCGAGGAAGCCAGTCAGCTCGTAACTCGCGTCCCCGCGGCTCTCGTACCGCAGCCTCAGCCTCAGCGGCACCGCGCTGGCGAGCGCGGGTGGCGTGGCAGCCTCCGCCCCGCCTGGGCTTCCTGGCACGCGGCAGGGGATCGCGGCCTCCACGGTGAAGCCGCCATTCTGTTCGTCCCAACCAGCGCCGACGAGACCATCAGTCGCGCTGGCGCGCCCGGCGGCGCCCGCGCCGCCGTGAGATGGAGAGCCCACTTCGCGCCTCCGACGCATCTGCTCGTCGACGTACTGGGCCCGCTCGACTGGCCCGTCGAAATCGCTGGCCGCGAGGAAGCCGAAAAAGTTCCAGAAGTCCGCGTTGCCCTCTGCCCGCATCCGGGGGCGCTGGCCGCCGTGCTCGCCGGCAGCTGCGTCGGCTCTGCCGGCCTGGGCGGCCCTCAGGGCCTCCAGGGCACGGGCCACCGCTGGATCGCTGCGCGGCCCCATCAGCAGGCGAAGCGAAGCGTGGCGCTCGCCTCCGCGGGCGTACTGCATCTCGCCGGCCCAAGTTCCGGCCCAGGCGCTGCCCGACGAGCCCCGCGCACCGTGCTCGAGGAATCCGCCCGCGCAGCCGCCGCCGCTCCACAGGAAGGCCGCAGGCCCGCGCCGGCGCATGCCCAGAGGCGTGCCAGGGGCACTTCCGTGCAGGTTGATCATCATGCGCGCCGAGGCCTCGACCACGTCTGCGTCCTCGCCCTCTAGCAAGGAGCGCACGAGCGCCCCACGCTGCACGATCTCAGCGCGGAGGCGGGGCCGCTCCTCCGCGTCCGAGGCCAGGTCTGCCAGGCAGCGCGCCGCCAGGCACATCAGGTGCGGCGACTCGTCCTCCAGCAGCGCCAGCAGGGTGTCACCGCCGCCTACTTCCCGCAGCAACCCCCGGACGTGCGAGGGGTAGTGCGCCCCCGGCTCCTCGGCCGCGCCGAGCTCGACGAGGCACTCCAGCGCCTCAAACAACTGGCGCCGGGCGTGAGACCCGCAGATGCCGGAGGGGCACGCGCTGCCGCGCAGGCCGGACAGCGTGGACTTCAGGCCGCGCCAGCGGCACAGCCAGCGGCGGTACTCCTGCCGAGACCCTGCGGCCTGCACGCCCCAGTCCGCCTCGAAGAGCCAGGCCCAGCGGCCCTCCGAGCGCGCGAGCCCCGCCCACTCGGGGCACGCGCAGGTCGCCTGCGCCAGGCTGTGGAAGTCGAGGCACCACAACACTCGGCCCACCACCTCCGATGGCACGCCGCCGGGGCCCGCCGGCTCGGCCTCGCGCCGCGGCGGGGCGCCCCGGGCGTCGTCCGAGGAGCGCTGGCGGCCCGCCTGGGCCGTCAGGCTCCGCAGGCGCTCCATCTGCTCGCCCAGGTCCGCCAGGTTGCGCTGCAGCGCCTGTCGGCGACTCCGAAGGTTACCAGCCTCAAACATATCCCTATCCCTGAGATTGACACGCCAAAAGGCGATGACAATCTCAGGGATCCGCCCTCAAAAAATAAGGGAATCCCTAAGATTGGCATCGTGATGAGGCGATGCCCAGCATAGGGATAGGGATATGTTCCAGGCTGGTAAGAGGGGCGTGGTCTGCAAAGAGTGCGGTCTGCAACCCGCACCCTGGGGGTCCGGGCGAGGACCTCGACGGAACTCTCCGCCGCGCCTCCGAGGCCCGACGAGGGCCACGTGGTACACCCGAAGCCCCGACGCCGCAGATCTGCGGGGACCGAAAGGTACCGATACCGCTGCCCCCGGGACCTCTCCCGGGGTGCGTTCTGACCAGGCTTCCGAGGCGAATCCAGCCGTGGCGACGAGGGCCTCCCAGGAGGCCCCGAAGAGGGGAAATCGAGGGAAGGGTAGCGGTTTAAGGGGTACATCTTCCTGCTTGGAAGATCGCAAACCTCACCGCATCGTAGATTGGATGGAGAAAATCGATGTTGGGGTACAGTGGGGGCCAGTCCACAAGATACCTTCCACGAGAAAACCCAACCCCGAGACCCCAGGACGTCCATCGACTCTCGGTGTGGCAACGTCGCGCTCTCCACGGCAAGACCATCGAAGCCCACGAAACCCACGAAACCCAGGGCGCCCTGGAGGCAAGCAGGGTGCTCCCTGGCAGGGCCCCCCTCCAAATCCATGCCGTGGTCGATCCCCTGCCGCCATGAGTTGAAGGGGGGAGGGGGTGCTCCTCCCCCTCCTCCTCCTCCTCCTCCTCCTCCTCCTCCTCCTCCTCCCTCCTCCTCTCCTCCTCCTCCTCCTCCTCCTCCTCCTCCTCCTCCTCCTCCCTCCTCCTCCTCCTCCTCCCCTCCTCCCCCTCCCCCTCCCCCCCTCCCTCCTCCCCCCTCCTCCTCCTCCTCTCCTCCTCCTCTCCTCCTCCCTCCTCCTCCTCCTCCTCCTCCTCCTCCTCCTCCTCCTCCTCCTCCTCATCTCCTCTCCTCTCCTCCTCCCTCCCTCCTCCCTCCTCCCTCCTCCTCCTCCTGCTCCTCCTCCCCCCCTGCCCGCTTCGCCCCCGCCGAGCCTGGCGCTCTGCCGCGCAGCGGTCCAGCATCTCCACCATCTCCTCCGCCAGGCTCTTCGTGCGCCGCGCCGGGGGCCCGCCCCCGGGCGCCCCCGCGGCGGCGCCCGCCCGGCGGCGCCCTCCGCCTCGCGCTCGGCGGAGGAGGAGGAGGAGGAGGAGGAGGAGGAGGAGGAGGAGAAGGAGGAGTAGGAGAGGAGGAGGAGGAGAGGGAGGAGGAGGAGGAGGAGGAGGAGGAGGAGGAGGAGGAGGAGGAGGAGGAGGAGGGAGGAGGAGGAGGAGGAGGAGGAGGAGAAGGAGGAGGAGGAGGAGGAGGAGGAGGAGGAGGCCTCGCCAAGGCGCTCGGCGCCGCTCGGGGGGGGGGCGCCGGCCTCCGCTCAGCGGAGGCCTCGCCGGGGCGCTCGGCGCCGCTCGGGGCGGGGGCGCCCGGCCTGCGCTCGGCGGAGGCCTCCGCCCCGCGCTCGGCCCCGGAGGAGCCCTCCGCCCCGCGCTCGTCGGAGGCCTCGCCGAGGCGCTCGGCGCCACTCGGGGCGGGGGCGCCCGGCCTCCGCTCGGCGGAGGCCTCGCCGAGGAGCTCGGCGCCGCTCGAGGCGGCGGCGCCCGGCCTGCGCTCCGGCGTGTCCTCCTCGGGTGCACACAGGAGGAGTGGGAGAGGCCTCCCAGATTGAAGGGGCCCCAGGACACGCAAACAAACGCACACAAATAAAGTCATTCCCCATATTTTCCAGTATTTTCTGGGTTTCTGGGTTTCTGCAGGAGTGTCTCGGGCCGGGCGAAAGGGGGGGATAGCAAAGCGGGAAATTGTTGAGAAGCAGCTCACGTGGCTGATTTTCCCGGCGCCTCCTGGCGCCGGGAGGCGCCCATGTATCGAGGAATGGGCCCAGCAGCGGGGCCGAAACCAGCTGCATGCAGCAAATTTCGCACCCCCCCTTTCCCAATCACCCCCTTTCGTCCGGCCCGAGAGCAGGAGAGGGGGGTCGGAGGGTCGCGCCGCCTCGCCGATGCACCGGGGGTGCATCGGCGAGGCGCTGGCAACGCATCGCCGACGTCGGCGACGCATCGGCGACGTCGGCGTGGGGAAAATCGGGCTCCGGATCGAGCCGCATCGCCGATGCATCGGCGATGCGGCGCGATCCTCCGACCGCATCTACTCGGACCCCATCTAGGAGGCTCAGAAGGAGCGCCCCAAGGCAAAAGTGCCCTGTGGCGCGCGGCTTCAGGGGCCGCGGGGGACGCCAGGTCTGCGCAACCCGAGTGCGCCAGCCGGGGCTGGCGGGGCCCCCTGTGGGCCCGCACCGAAGGTCACTTTCCCAGACCCCCGACAGAACGATCTCTTCATTGCGTCGGCCCCTAGAGGTCCCGACCCTTTCCCCCTGACCGGCTCTGCATCCCGAGTCGTTCTTTGACGCTCCCGAGGCCCGTTCGGGGCCCCCTCGAGGCCGACGACAGCGAAAGGCCTCCCGCGTCGTGAGCTTTTCGCTGCTCGAGGGGGTCTGGGTTCAGCGGAGAGCCACTCTTACGCGCAGCCGGTCCTCGCGGGCCTGCAGCGCCTCCCGCGGGGGCCGTCGCTCCTCTGCGAGGGCCGCGGGCGGCAGCCGCCAGAAGAAGGCGGCCGCGGGCCCGTCGGGGAGGTCCTCGCAGGGCTGGAGCGGGGGGCCCGGCAGCGGCAGCCTCCAGAAGAACGCCTCGGTGCCCGCGCCCGCCATGCTCGCCGGAGGAGGGGTTAAGTCGGGCACGTCCCCCTGCAGGGGGATTTTCCACGAAAAATGCGAAACACTCCAAACATACACCCAAAAAGACCAAACAATGCACCAAAAATAATCCCCAGACTATTGTAGGAGTATTTTCTGACCATTTTTGGGGTATTTTTTATTCTTCGGCGAAAATCTCCCCGTAGGGGGACACGCCCGACATAAAGGAAGGGCCGAGGCGCCCTACAAACGCCCTCGAACTCAGGCGCAAGTGTTCCCCGCGACGTGGCAGCACCCCAAGACCCCGCAACGAACTCGGCGGTCGCGCCGGAAATGGGCGACTGCAGAACCCCGCGGGCCGCGTTGCGCGCGTCGACCAACAGTAAAAACTTGCGTTTGGTTTCGAGGAGGGTTGTAGATGAGGTAGGGGTAGATGGGGTCGGAGGATCGCGGCGCGTCGCCGATGCATCGGCGATGCGGCTCGATGAGGCGCCTGATCCTCTCCACGCCGACGTCGCCGATGCATCGCCGAAGTTGCAGGATGCATCCTCGATGCATTGGCGATGCGGTGCGATCCTCTGGCCCCGAAGCCTCTGGGGGAGCACTGGCACAGGCTGCCGATCCCGCCCCACGCCGAGCTGGAGCCACGCCCCGTGGGCCAAAATGACTACAGCCGACACATGCGACAACAACTGCTGCTACCAGGAGTCTTGCGGCACAGTCTTCGTCGATCTTCGAGGGCCCTAGGGTGGCCCAAGGAGTCCCCGCGGGTCCGTGGGGCCCATCGGGGGATAAGAGCCTTTCGTGGGGCACCTTCTGGCAGAGGAGGAGGAGGAGGAGGGGGAGGAGGAGGAGGAGGAGGAGGAGGAGGAGGCGGAGAGGGGAGGAGGAGGGAGGCAGAGGAGGATGAGGAGGAGGAGGAGGAGGAGGAGGAGGAGGAGGAGGAGGAGAAGGAGGAGGAGGAGGAGGAGGAGGAGGAGGAGGAGCAGAGGCGGAGGAAGAGGGAGGAGAGGAGGGAGGAGGGGAGGGGGAGGAGGGAGGAGGAGGAGGAGGAGGAGGAGGAGGAGGAGGAGGAGGAGGGAGGCGGAGGAGGAGGGAGGAGGAGGAGGAGGAGGAGGAGGAGGCGGAGGGAGGAGGAGGAGGAGGAGGAGGAGGAGGAGGAGGGAGGAGGAGGAGGAGGAGGAGGAGGAGGAGGAGGAGCGGAGGCGGAGGCGGAGGAGGAGGAGGCAGAGAGGAGGATGAGGAGGAGGAGGAAGGAGGAGGAGGAGGAGGAGGAGGAGGAGGCAGAGGCGGAGGAGGAGGAGGAGGAGGAGGAGGAGGAGGCGGAGGCAGAGGCGGAGGAGGAGGAGGAGGAGGAGGAGGATGAGGAGGATGAGGAGGAGGAGGAGGAGGAGGAGGAGGAAGAGCAGGACGGATAGGTCCACGAGCTCCTCGCCGAGGCCTCCGGGGCCCGGGCTCTGGCCCCGCCGCAGGGTCCACCTGGGGCACGCGGGAGAGCCCGCGCCCCAGGTGCGTCCGCAGCCTGCGCGAGCTCTCGGGGGTCGGGCAGGGACCTCCACTCTGTTGTCTTGAAACGACCCAGACCCCCTCGAATTATGAAAAAATCACGACGCGAGGTTTTTCACGATTTTCGGCCTCTGGGGGCCCTTACCGGCCCTCGGGACCGTCAAAAAACGACTCAGGACGAACAACCGGTCCGGGGGAATGGGTCCGGACCTCTCGGGGTCGACGTCATGAAAAATTCATGACGTCGGGGGTCTGGGGAGCACGACCGTCTCCACCACTCCGCCCCGTCCCTGTCGGACCACCTCATCACCCATTCAAGAGGCGCGCTCTCGCCGCCAGGAATGGCGTCACCGCCTGACGTCTCACACTTTACTCTGCACTTGCGCCCTCGTGCGGGAATGCCTCGCCATTTACTCAGTGAGGCGCAGCCGGCGTGGCTCCCTTCTGTGGATCTGTCGCGCTCCTCAAGCCCCCGATCCCGAAACACCCTACTGGCACCAAGGACCCTCTGTTTCCTCATTCCTATTCGTCGCATTTTCCCGCCCTCCTCTGCTTCCTGGGCTAGGCTCCGCCCGAACCCGCCGACCGACCCGACACAGCCAGACCCGACCACCCCAATTCGGGTCCCGCTCAGACACTACCGCTCGACGTGAGGCCCGTCCGTCCGCGCCGGCCCGACCGCCCATTCTGGCCCGGCCGCCCTCACGCCTGCCGACCTTCGCCCGCCCACGCAAGGAGAGGGACGCCCCCCAAAGGTGTACGACCGAAGACAAGGAGAGCGGGTAGCGAGGCGCTGGGGCACAATAGCTTCCCCGAAACTGTGGACCTTCCTGTAAACGTTGGGCCCCCGACCCCCCTTTAAACTTAGAGTCACAAAGCGCGGGGCCGGCTGGCAGCGGAATAGGTTTGGGCCCAACGCCACGGATCCCTCTGATTATTCACTGCTCGCTACGGTGTATCAGCTTATTCCGCACACTCTTCCACAGAGGAACACTTCCTCCACCGTCGGTGTGTGTGTTTTTTCTCAGCGCACACAGCAGCACGATGCCAAACTCAGCGACGCAATCATGAGACCACTGAGCCACCTCAAATGCCGTGCGTCAGAATGGAGTTGGAGCGCCCGGCCGATGCGAAAGATGGCTTACAAGAGTGGCCGCCCTCTCCGCATTGCCCCCGGACCCGGGAGGAGGAGGAAGCAAGAAGAGGAGGAGGAGGAGGAGGAGGAGGAGGAGGAGGAGGCCTGCCGCACCCGGCGAAATCGCGCCAGAGGCTAAAACAATGAACCTTGGAGCATGGAGGCAGCTCGCATCTCCACCCAACATTGAAGAATCCCCGACCACGAAATCAAGCGGAACGGAGAGGAAGGAGCAGGACGAAGAGAACAGGAAGCAAGGAGGCGGCGCGCAAGGAACACCACAACTAGCGGGCGAAGTGCCATACATCTGACGCGTGCACTCCCCAGGCTTCTGAATGCGGCCCTACTGCAAATCAAGACGGCCACGCTGTCGGCGTAGGCGGCCGGCACCACAGGACAATGCGGGCTCGTGGCGACTCCCTGGTCAGGGAGCGGCCGGCGAAACCGGAGGGCCCATCACCAGCCGCCTCCGCGTGCACCGGCGCAAGCGCCAATTACTGCCCCTCGATGCGGGCTCGGGGGGGAGCGAGAAGGAGACCGGAAGAGGAGGCGAAGAGCAGGCCGACCCCGAACGGGGACAGCCAGCCTTCCGCCTCCGGGAGGCGAGAGCGGGAGGAAAGAGAAGGAGGGGGGGAAGTTGTTGTGCCGCAACTCGCCTGACCCGCGGCCTCCGCCGCCCTGCCGGATGGGCCGGGGGGAACGCCGAGCGGACGTCAAAACGCGAATTTCGAATGTCACGGATTCGGTGCGGCGCCGCACCCCTGGAGGAGGGGGGAAGAGGAGGACGAGGAGGCGGAGGCGGAGGGAGGAAGGAGGGGGGAGACTGCGAGCTCATATCGAGCACTCCGGCCTCGAGGCGTCCAGCCGGCCAGGATCCACAGCGCGGCACCGCGACACGGAGGAGGCGGAGGGAGGAGGGGAGGCGAGAGGAGGCCGAGGGAGGAAGGGAAAGCGAACAAACACACGAGAGAACGCCCTGCCCCAACAGAGCGTGAAAACTAACATGCAAATACACTCACCGAAACATGCATCACCTTCAGGAGTCCGTCTCCTGCCCGCGTCGGCCTTCTCTCAAGTACTCCGCGAAGGCCCCCTCCAGCTCGTCCAGCTGCAGGCCGCCGCAGCGCCGGTGGTTGTGCAGGCGGTACAGGGCGTAGATGCCCAAGGCCCGGTCGCGGAGCTGCGTGTGCCCCGCCGCCGAGGCCACGGCGTCGCCCAGCAGCAGGAAGTCGTCCAGGGCGTGCTCCCGCGGAGCTGGCGCGATCTGGAGAAATCGCCCAAACAACTGCCGCTGGACACGGCAAGTGGCCAAGTGCTCGATGCTGTCTTGGCGTGCTCCGCATCCGAGGCGGCAAGGAGCAAGCCCTTGGAACCGCCGGCTTGTGCACCAACCGTTCAGCTGCAAACGGATGCACGCGGCCAGGACGCGAGGCTGGCATTGCGCTGCCACTGCCGCCAAGGCACGCTGAGCCCGTGCCAGACGTCGCCCGGGTAGTAGTCGCAGCGGCCACCGGTCGAGCTTCCGTCGCCAGTGCCTCTGTGCTTCCGTCTTGACCGTCGGCGTGATGAGGAGCGCAGCCTTGCTCTGCCAGCGAATGCGCTCGTCCCACCACGTGGGCCGCGCTCCAGGTGCCCCCCCTGGCGGCGCGCACCCGGCCGTCCGCCCTGGCGATCTGCAGCAGAAATGCCCTGTTGCGCCACTCGTTCAACCAGGCCACCCGGCGTAGTGAAGACGAAGTGGCCATGGCGCAATGACTCTCCAATGCGCGAGCCCTCTCTGGAATTCGGAGGGCGCCTTGGGCCTCCCACTTCGCCGCGCGTGCCTTGGCCGCCACGACGGTTCTCGCCACGTCCTTCATGGCGACAGGATAGTGAAGCTCCGTCAGCTCCTTCAGGCAGCCTGGGCTCATCCAGTCGGAGGGGCCTGGGAGCAGCGCTGCGCACGCCCTCTTTTCCCAGTCTGGCCAGTCTGCTGGCAAGGCCTCGAACTGCCCCACGAACAGCAGCACCGACGACGCGTAGACGCTGTAAGCCCGCAGTGACAGCTGCAAGCCAACTCCGAGCCGGCCCCGGAGCTGAGCGCGAGTCGAGAATTTCTCCAGGGCGCCTTCCAGGATGCATCCTCGCGCCCTGGCCCCACGCACACGCCCAAGTACTTGGCAGCAGCGGCCACTTCCACGCCTCCCCATCCCGGGGCAGCCCGAGTCAGGTCATCGCGGACACCCGCCAAATCACATGGGTCCAGCGGCAGCAGAACTGTTTTCGGCACATTCAACGCCAGGCCTGAAATCCGAGCAAACTCGTCGAAGAAGGCCTGGAGCTCCCCCACGTGCCGAACCCCCTCGGGCAGCACCATCGCCAGGTCATCTGCCCA